TACCTCATCTTTCCTAGCAAACACAAACCAAATTGGATTCATTATGAACATTTGAACAGATTGAAATAACAAATTAATAGCAACACCAAACAAGCACTTGAACAAACCATTTTGACGTCTTGATCACCGTTACTCGAGACCGTAAAATGTTCTTGGGGCTTCCCCGGCAAGAAATTTTTCTTCTTTGCATTACTTTTAGCCGGCTTTGATAAATCCAACAACATCCCAAAAATGAAACCAATTACAAGCCCTGGAATGAAATTCTCTGCCCTAAAACTCGCTGCAAACCATTCTTTCTCTTGCTTTTGCTGCTAGGATATAACACAAATAATCAAGCAACAGTAAGAAGAAAAAAGAACACTAAAAATTCGAACTTTTTTCTTAATTTTTTTACAAGTTGAGTAAACCGAGGCTAACAACTACTTGGGTTTTGTTAAATAGGAGTGGAACATAGGCCTTCCAAGTTTACTTTCTTTTACTCTCGTCTTTCCAAACATTCTCTCAGTTCTCCGTAACCAACTGAACAAATTAGGAATTGATTACAGAAATTTCAATAAGAGCTGATTATTAAGTACCTTGTTCGAAAGCTGAGAAGAATTTCGATACGAACCCCACATCCTAGACTTCAGGAAACTGACTATTGTTGAGTGGTGAATAATTAAAACGGTTTATGATAAAAAGGATTTTTTGCGTTTCGGCAGTAAGGTACGCAGATAAAACGGAAACGCCGTCGTTTTTTGGATAATTTATTGAAATAACCACTCTTGTTGGAATTAATAAATCCAAAACTTTTAAATCTTATAAAAATTTTGTTTTACTTTTTTTTTTTTTTAAATGATTAGAGTGTTCGGGCAACTTACACGTATCTTAATTAATTTTATAACTATTAGTTAAATAAAAACTTTAGTAATTATCTTTATTAATGATAGAAGATTCAAACTCAAAACTTTTAAATAATATATCAAAAACTCTATACCAAATCATTTAATCACTTAAAAGATAGTTTTGATTTTGCTATTTCAGTTTGGTCTTTCCATGTTTCTGATCGATTAGGAACCATTTTGGCAAACTCATTAATTTAGGAATTTTTAATTAAAGAAATATGATTTTGCTCCCAATTTGGTTTATTATTTAATTAAAAAGAAACAAGTTATCGTCTCATTAAATCATAATATTATTTTATTACTGCAACTTGAATAACGTGGCTTACAGAGAAGGTCATCACACAAAGTCAAGGTTTAGAATTGGAATTGCAGTTCCCCACGTTTCACTGTTTAGTGTTTCCCTATCCAACCGCTATCCCTCACGTGTCCTTCAACACCACACAAAGAATCTTAACCACTAATATTCTCTTACAAATCCGAGTTTCAAACGCCTCTCTTTCTCCTTAACCTCATTTACCCATTAACTAACTTCATTTCCTGTCCCAAAATGGAGTCTGTTGCCTCCAGTTCAACCCCTCCTCGTGATCAACAAGATCCCCGTTCCCAGCCCCGCTTCAGAATCACCCAACCCGTCACAGACCGTATAGGCCGAGCTCTCCGCCATCAGCTCCGCCTCCTCCACCGATCTGATTCTCTCTTTTTCATCTTGGGTGCCACTGGAAATGTTTACACCGTTAACTTATCCTCCGCTCCGTCATGCACATGCCCAGATCGCATTACCCCATGCAAACACATTTTATTTGTGTTTATCCGCGTTCTGGGTGTTTCTATTGATGACACGTGTCTCCGGAGGAAGACTCTCCGTCCCTGCAAGCTCAACCGTTTACTTGCCACGCCCACATTGCCGGAAGCATTGGCGGGGGCTGGCCTTCGCCATAGATTTCATCAGCTGTTCTTTCGAGCAAGGAATGAAAATAGTTCAGAAGGATTAATTGAAATAAAAGATACAAGTACGTGTCCTATATGTCTTGAAGAGATGGGTAAGGAAGAGAGAGTGGTGACTTGTGGGACGTGTAGGAACTTGATTCATGAAGAATGCTGGATGAGGTGGAAGAGAAGTAGGGGGAGGAGATCGGCTAGTTGTGTGATTTGCCGTTCAAGGTGGAGGGGTAGGAGTGATCAAGAGCAATATCTGAATTTGGCACCTTATTTTAGCGAGGAGGATGAAAATGCGGCGGAGACGAGCGGCCGTCTCTGCGGTGGTTAGCAAGTTAGCTGGATACGCATGTAAAAATCATATAAATTTGGCTGAAAGTGTATGATCAGAATATAGAATTGTTAAATTGAATCACGTTCTTTAATTCATTTGTAAATACAATCAGTCGCTAGGTTGATCTTCATTTATGTAATAAATAGATTTACCTTGTAGAGAAGATCAAAATTGTTAAATTATGCGATGTTATTTCATTTGTTTATAGCTTAATGTGAAAAAACAAAAAAATGTTTAGCTGCAGGAACAGGTTAACGTTCCTGATAATTAGTCATTTCAGTTCTTTGTTAATATCTTAATTTTTCCTTAATTAAGGATTACCCATGTTGATTCTTAGCTATTTATGCTACATTATTAATTTGACACGGCAAGTTCTATACACAAAAGGCCATTGATGACATCGCACGTGCAGTTGAGCATAATCAGAGCGAAGTCCCCTAGAAGTGGAGCTCTTAATCAGAGCGAAGATGAAATTCTTTTAATTTCGTCTTTCTTTGATGCTGCATTTCTACTGGGATAGCGTTAACTTTTGCGTCTGAGATGCTTTTCCAAATACTCGTATATATCTATTCATCTTACCCACGCAAAGACATGTTCCAAATATTCCTCTTGCTTTTATCTATACATACGTAAAATTAATTAATTAATTAATTATTTAAAAATCACTATTTATATTTGATAATGTAACATACAGATGATTGTAATATATCTAATGTGTTCTAAGATGCAGCTTCTAATTACAACTAATAGATAGGATAAGCATGATCCTTTTGTTTTTGGTCAAGTGTTATTGATTGATTTATTTATTTTAAGGTTCAATCACCAATCAAACTCAAACAGCTTCTAATTTCAGTGGACTAGTCAACCTTAAAAGGAAATTTCTTAATTTCAATTTTATCACTACATTTTTAGATAATTACGACTTAGCCATTGACATTGATTCCAAAAACTTTATATAAAGCCCACGTATATCCCGATCACCTCATTACTCAACACTTTCACTTGCTGATCCAACTTTGAGCATTCTACAGTGTACACTATTTCTTTACTGACAGGGAAAATGGATCACACTGCAGCACCTCCAGACTTGCGCCGCAAGGTCGTCGCAGTCGCTGCCGGTGAATCTCACACTCTTGCTCTCTCAGGTAAAAATATATATATATGAATACTATACATAATTTTTTTTTCTTTTTAATCTTTTTGTTGTTGGTTATAATTAAGTTTTGGAGAGTTCTTGTTGTAGGTGATGGTTGTGTGTATACGTGGGGAAGAGGAATGTTTGGGCGACTTGGTACCGGTTCTGAATCCGATGAATTAACTCCGGTTCGAGTCAGTTTTGACATTTCTGGCCAATCAGAAAATAAGAAGCTTAAAATTGTTGGAATTGCTGCTGGTGCTTATCACAGTGTTGCTCTCGCAGGTCAGTGTAGCTTATGATTCATTTTAATTAGATGCTCAAATATACTTCAGTTTGGACTTGTTAAATGTGGATAGTGGAGATTTATAATTGTTAAGTATCTACAATAATTAATGGCATTTGATAGTATGGTAATTGATATATCCAGATGGCCATTTTCTTGTGGAAATGAAATTCATTATGACTGATTAATTGTTTGGGTAATTAATTAACTCTAACAGATGAAAAATGTAGAGTGTGTTCAAGTATTAAATTGAAAAGGTGAAAGAAAATATGGAATAATTTTAGGTGAAGCCAATATTGCTGTGATGCTCTAATTTTCTTCGGCTTCTATGTTATTACAGATGATGGCTCAGTGTGGTGTTGGGGTTACAACATCTGTATCCTCCTTACATTTTATTTATTTATTTGATAGAAAACAAATTATTATATGGTTTAAAACAAAACTGATACAAAATATTAGGATGAAACGATGGCAGTTAGTAGAAAAAAAAATCTCTGTATTATATCATGGAGAGGTTCTGAACTCGCAGTCTTTTGCTGATTTGGATAAAAAGGAACCAAGGAATCTCTGTAGACTCCATAGAAGAGGATATCAGTTTTTTGTGGGACAAAGTTTGTTTACTTAGCATCTTTATGGGTTTCTGTTACTAAGGAATTCGAGGATTGTTCTTTTTTCTTCATGCTGGAAAATATAAGGCAGTTTTACACTAAAGTTAGGGCTTCGTATGGGTGTTATCTTGATGTTTTTTTGTGAATTCAGTGATTCAACAGAGTAAATTATGAGAGATTCTTCGTTAGTACTTTATTCTGTTAGCCTTTTTTCCGTGTCTTGTTTGCATCCCTTGACTGTTATATGGATGGCCAACTTGGTGGTAACGAAGAGAATTCTGCGGTACCCTGCTTGATGGAGCAGTTCCTTGATTCTTTGACTGATGAATCCAAAGCAAAGTATAAAGCACCAATTAAGGTATGGATTGTGTTGTATGTATCATGTCCTTGTCAAGTTAAGAGTTAAACTTGTTAAGCTTCTTATCACTTTGTATACTACAGATTTGTTCTGTCAAAGCTGGTGGAATGATGTCTTTTGCTATTGATAACATAGGGGCCTTGTGGATTTGGGGCAACTGCCCGCAGCAAACCAGCGTCACTGAAGCTGGTTTCTCTCTTGTAAGCAGTTTTACTCCTGTTCCTGTCTGGGATTTCTATGGTCACACTGTTGTGAAGGTGGCTTGTGGAAGTGAACATGTTTTAGCCCTAGTTAGTGCTGGAGAAACGTATAAAGGTGAAGATCTAGTATGCTATTCTTGGGGTAATAACAACCATGGTCAATTAGGCTTGGGAGATAGAGAGCCCCGGTCCCGTCCTGAAATCATAGAGATGTTTAAGCAGGACTCACCTTGGGCAGTTTATGAGGTCGCGTGTGGGTCCTTCCACACAGCTTTGCTTACTCACAAAAAGAGACCAAGTGACACATTAGGAAGTACGTGCTGGACGTTTGGCCTTGGTGAGAATGGTCAGCTTGGCCATGGAACAACCCAAAGTGCATTGGTTCCCGAACCTGTAAAAGAATTACCACAGTATGCATATCTAATCTCTGTTGACTGTGGCCTATTTCACACTAGCGTTGTGTCATCTGCTGGAGAGGTGTGGTCGTGGGGAATGGAAAGAGGTCTTGGTCTATGCCCGAATGCTAGTTTTTCCAGTGGTGAAACAGGCGATGCTTATTCTCCCCTCCTAATTCAGTGTAATGGGCTTCGTGAACCCAAATTTCAGGATCCTGTTCAAGTTGCTTGTGGGGCTGCTCATACTGTTCTTGTTGCACATGATGGACATAAGCTCTGGTCTTGGGGTAGGGGTAGAAGTGGGATTTTAGGAAATGGTAAGGCAGTCGATTGTTTTGCTCCCAGTGTTGTGATGTGGCCTCCACTTACAGAGGATTTCAAGCAAGAGGAACTGAAGACTGCTGTTGAGGAAGATAAGACTGGAGAGAAGGATTCTGAAAGAGTTGAAGAAATGGATAAAAAATTGTCTTCGGCAATGGAGGAGATAAAGCTCCTTCAATCAAAACTCTCTGTAATGGAAAGATATGCTAGTATACTTCATGGCTCAATTTTTGGTAAACCTTTTGAAGAGCAAGATATTCCAATGTCATTGAAAAACACAGGTTTTTTTGACATTACAAAGGAATGGGAAAACATGTTAGAATCAGCAGATCGCAGTACGCTTGTAAGGTTGGAAATGTTCTATAGAAAGATGGTTGGTAGTGTCAAGGATAAATTAATGAAGAGAAGGATCCAGGAGATCATAAAGGAGACTCTTCATTCTTCAACTACAGGGATATAACTTAATCGGTCGCATTTTTTAGTTTGAATTGAAGAAAGATTGCGCATATAATAAACAGAAGCTTGTTGATATGTTTAATTAAAAGGAGGGTTTTTTTGTTTGCATGATCTTATAAGATTGGGTGATTTCTTGTAATGTGCGTTGTGGTAGTTGGTGTTTATTATTGGTAATAACACATAAATGTAATGTATCCTCGTCCAAAAATAAAATGCAGATGTCATCATCTTTTTTTTTTTTTTTTTTTTTCGTTTTTCAGGAAAAAATGTATTCATGTAAAGACTTGGTACCATCCTGACCTTGTAAGTCTAATACAACTGGCAAAACTCAAATATTAAATAAGGAAAATGGATAATTTTTTGGCTGCTAAAATTCGAGACTCAGAAGAGAAATTATTCAATAGTTTTAGTATTTCTAATGCATGAGTCTACAGATTTTAAAATAAAATGAGAAAAAATAAATAAATAATTGCATGAATTAAGAGGTGTGTGACATACACATGCACTTGCATCATGGGATGCAGTAATGTGATTCGATTTAATTAGTTGGACATATAAAAAGCCTTAGATTAAATAATGTTGATCTTATTGCAGATAATTTGTTATTGACTCTGAATATATGGTATTTGATATTACAAGATATATTAAGTAATCAAGATTAGTTAAATATAGTCAAAATATAAAGATTTTAATTATGCAAACCATACATAGTTATGCAAAACATTGGGTATGTATAAGGCGTTTGTCTAAGCTTATGAAAATTAGCTTATAAGCAACAATTGCTTAAAAGCTAAAATTACCTTATAAGCATCTGAAATTTTAAGCAATTACGTGTTTGGTTAAAGTACTTATAAGTGGTTGATAAGTAATTGACGTGTTTGGTAAAATTTAGTTTATAAGTACATTTTATTATAAAATTACTAAAAAAGATACTACATTAAATAATGACATACTATGGAATTTTAAAATTAAACAAGGATAATGTGGTAATATACTTGGTCAAACTAGCTTATAAGCAAAGTGCTTATAAGCCAAAAAAAAAAAAATACCTCCCTCCCAACTTATTTTTTTTAGCTTATAAACTCAACTTATAAGCTCAAAAAAATTATAAACAAACATGTCAGCTTAATTTTAGAGCTTATAAGTAAGTTTGACCAGCTTATAAGCTTAGACAAACACCCCCATAAGAGCTCCTAACTAATTTTAAAAATATTTACGTATTAATTCAAAAAATTATTATTAAGCGTTATTTAAAAATTATTTAATCTCAGGGGCCCGCTCTCTGGCTCTAGTAAAACGATGCGCATGGTAGCAGCTCTCTACTCGCTTATTATACAAATCCCTCCAAATCCGAGGGTTATTCTTGACACCCCTCGGGTTTCTTTCGGAAAAGGAAAGTTACACCCCTCTAATTAACCACGTTAAGGAGACATAGAGTAATGCTATCTGCACAAACCAATCTTACTAACCCCAGTACTAATTGACGTGGCAAATGCCATCTCATCTGCCACATCACTTAATGGCCACATCAATTTTTCCAAAAAAATATATATTTTTTCTTCAAATATCTCTTCCCATAAATCAACTCCCTAAATCAAATTCATTTTCTCTATAATACAAACACTACATTTTTTTCTCCATTCCTTTCAATTTTTACCTCTCATCTCACAATTAGTTTCTCAAAATTTCTCAGCCGATCTCATCCCAATTTCATTACATGCCGCGACGCCTCACCAAACGCTGACAAACCAAACCCGAATCATCTTTTCCATACGTCGCCAAACACCGCCACGCCTCGCCTCGCCAGATGTTGCGACGCCTCACTAGACGTCAACAAACCAAGGACTAACCATTGTTTCCACGCCTCGCCAGAAGCCATCACGTCTCGCCAAACCAACTGAAATCGTCGTTTCCACGCCTCGCCAAACGCCGCCACACCACGCCTCGCCATATGTCGTGACGCCTCACCAGACATCAACAAAGTATAAACAAAACCCTCATCGTTCCCACGCCTCGTTAGAAGTTGCCACGCATCACCAGTTGAGAATCGAAGGCACATATAGTACTCTATTATCTTTTTCAGTTTGATTTTTAGTTTAATTATTTGTTAGGGTTTTTTCATTCTATTTATTTTTTAAATAAATTAATTCATCGAAGAAATGCGTGTTTATTTGGATGATTCACACTGGTTTCTAAATAATGATGCTTGTTATTTGCTTGTTGATTAGGATTCCAGAAGCTGCCCATTTCAAGGCCCTTAGCTCTGCCGTTGAGGAAGCATTTATGGATTTGGTATTGTTGGTTGTATACTTGTGGTTGGTGTTGTATGTGATTGACTGTGGAATTTTTTTTCCTTGTTTCTGGATTTTCGTAGTCCTAAATATTTAGCAAGATTATAGGAGAGCTTTAGAATGGTTTATAAATCCCAAATAGAAGTTGGGTCTAGTTCATAGTTGCGTTTAATTCTGTTCGACTGGTTTGGTTCTTGTATGTTGGCATTTTAGTTTTAATACTGCTGAACTTTGGGCGTATGTATTTTGAGCCAAATATTTGCCTGTTCTATTATGTTTTTAACTTCTGGTGCACCAGCTTGATATTTCTTCCCAGGTTAATAATAAAATATTCAAACATAAATAATTTTAGTAACTATTTTAGGCAGGTAGTTATGCCCTCTCAATGGAATTATTTGCTTGTCTTTTGGTAACTATTTTAGGCAGGTAATTGTGTTGCTGTTGCAGACTCTGCATTATTGCAGTTTTTGAAGATTCCGGGAGATTGCTGCATTCTAGGTAGTTTGTGCTGGTTTGTTAGTTTTATGCTTCTTGCAGTGTGTGCAATCTCTAAAAGGTTGTTGCAGTTTGTATAGGCTATCTAGTGTGTGTTTGCTGACGGGAGTTTTCTACAGTTTGTGTAGCCTTTGGTTGTTGGTTATAGGATGTGTGGCAGGTAATGCAGTATTTTACAAGATTATGCTGCAATTGTGCTGTTGCTGAGGGAGTGCTTTAGCTTGGTCGAAGATGCATCAGTTTTTGCAGTTTTTGTTTGCTTTGTCTGGGAGATTTTGCAGCTGGTATAGCTTGTGTGTGTGTAGTTTTTAAAGTTGTTGCAATTGTTCTCTGCCTTTGGTGTTGTGTGCAATTTTCAGGTGTCTGTTACAGCTTGTGTAGTCCATGCTATCTTTGCGTTTTTTGTTTTCGGGATTTCCTTCTAGCTTGTACAATGTGGATTGTTGGTTTTGAAGCTTGGCCTACTTTTCTGGTTTGGTTTGCTGATCCTTTTTGTAAAGGCCTTTTAGGGGTTGACCTTTGGGTGCCCTTGGTTTCTTTGGTCTCTTGTGTATAAGGATTGCCTTTCCTTGGTTGTCCTTGCTTTTGTAGTTTTGTCCCTTGGGAATGCGCAAGGTTCTTGGTTCTAAAGGGGAGTCCCCTTTCTTAGGTTGTAATTCTTTTATAAAATTATTGGGTTTACCAAAAAAAAAAAAAAAAAAAAAAAAGTAACTTATCATTAATATAATTATGTGTATATACATATATTGTCCTGACTGAGTAGAGATAAAAAAACATAGTTAATTATTATCATAGAGGTTGATTTATATATCATGAAAAAACCTTCATAATTTGGCAAAGTAATACAAACATTGAAGTAAATATTGAAGTAGGACGCCTGTACTGCCCTGATAATTTTGTTGGTTCTTCCAAATATGGATTATTATCCATAATCATCGAAGAGATTGATAGAGATTTTAATTAGGCACGGTTTTAATTAAACATTGAATTATCAACAATTCATCAAACTCAACTAGCTATAATTAAATATTTTAGGTCAATCTGGTCTCAATATTTAACTAAAAAGAGAATATATTTATTAGTATTTACAAATCACATAAAGAGGGTAAGTAATTCTACTAAACATGGCCCGATCATCTTGACAAAGAGTATGCGCAGAGTTCTATATAATAAAACTGTAAAACCAGCCAAACTCTCCTAGACAAAGCAAAAATAATAGGCCTAATCATCGCGTCTAGCCCCAAAAACACTACACTAATAGCTAACAAAATGCAGCATTAAAGCTGTAACTCCAGAACACACTGCACAAACAACCAAGCTATTTAACAAAACATTGCACAACTCCGAACATACTTACGAGAATTACAAAACTGCAGTTTTCTGTTGCTGCATCTGCCAACAAAGCTCTCCAAAATCCTTTTTTTGGTCATGCACCAACGCCATCCACTACACAACAACAACCAACATACCCAAACAGCCAAAAACTATAGATCTAGCACCAGAACACCTCAAGAGCAGATCCAAGCTGCAGATCCAACACACAAAAAACTGCACTTATTGAGAAAATGTCCTAGCGACTTCAAAAAGCTAAAACTAAAAAAATCTATAAATTCCCAATACTGCAAAGAACAAAAACAAAACCACAAAAACAAAGCTGCAACACCAAAAAATCCTACACCAACCCAATAGTCTACTGTGAAATTAATGCTGAATGTTGGAGACCTACCACGAAAAAAATTACAGCTAATAAACATCTTAATACAATATTAGAAAGTTAATTCTAATGCTCCAGAATCAAGACATGCATCATTTATCAATGCACCATCCATGAGCAACTCATTCACATCACTAGCATATAACTTAGACTTCACATAATCTTCCTCCATCAATATGCAGGCACCAATCATAACCTACCATATTAAAGGAGCAAAACTGTGGCAAGCAGCAATGAAACCACACACAAGCAGTTAAATACATACACAATCATTTTGATACATGATTTTTATATTAGAAATGAGTTTCAAGCAACAAATTGGGGTTAAAATATAAGAAAACTAAAAAACCATAAGCACCTGGAGCTGTTGCTCTTGAGCTGATGAACATGAGCATCCAACTTCCTGAAACTCAAGTTCTTTTGATCCCTATGCAAGATACAACAAGAACTCAACCACGTTAGTAGACTGAGAAATTTTCAAAACAGAAGCAAAAGCTAAAAAGAAAGTAAAATAGAGAACCAATAAGGAAAATGAAAGATTTATACCCAAACATGAACCATGCATAAAATAATGTTAGTAATATGCAACCCAGAGGTCCATTTTTTGAGATAAAATCTCAACCACAAGGCACAAGGGCTTGTTCTTTTGTCTCATACTTCAAACAAGCACAACCTGCAATAAAGAGAAACAAATAGACAAATAAATTATTTTGCAATGAAATAATCCTGCAATTGTCAAACCACAA